CAGCGGCAAAGAAGAAGAGGGAGCCTAGGAAAAGGCTAGGTGCGGCGAGAACCTCTTCTGCTCAGGTCCCCAGGATGGATCTGAGTGGAGTCAAGAGCATCTCTCCCTGGCTCCCTTCTCAATTGATTCCAGCCAATCAGCGCACAGAGTCGGGCAGCGGCAGCGGCAGCAGCAGGAATGCTAAACAGCGGCTCCTTAAAGGAACAGAAGCAAAGGTGCCCCCCGGGCTCAACCACAGCTCCCCCATTCTCTGAGGTACCAGGAACACAGAAGCAAAGGTGCCCCCCGGGCTCAACCACAGCTCCCCCATTCTCTGAAGGACTAGCTACCCTAGCCTAGGTGGCTGGGATTGAGCCACTGGAGAGCTGCGGAGCACGATCCCCTGTCCCCTTGTCGCCAATTTCAGTCTGTCTTCTGCCCACTCCACCCCGCCCCTCTTTCAAGAGGGAGTTGCAGTGAGATGCTCAATGGGTCCCTAAGCTTGCTCTAAGCTAGGGCCACCAGAAGTAAAGACAGCAACAGAGCAGACCTGAGGGGCATCTGGGCAGGGTGCGAGAAGTGCTGCCTCCTGCAGGGGACTAAGGAAGAGGGCAGAGTCCAGATCTGTTAAGTATCCTATCAAGACCATTGTTCTCTCATCCTCTAGGCCCTGTAATGGCTATCTCACAGTCGACCTTCTTACATCACCAGTGTGAAACTTAACCCCAGAACTGGCAATCAGAAAACTACTTATTCCTGCCTCAGACACTTCTGCCTCCACTCCATGGTTGTGTTAGGGAAGGGAGGCTTGGACTATTAAGAGGAAAGGGTGTCCAGATTAGAAGGAAGTGCTAAGAAAAGCTTGGAAGTACAAAAGCCAGCTCTGTGGGTCTGGAAAGCACATAAGAATACCTGTTGAAGGAGGTCTCCTCGATTCCCCTGTAGGAAGATGGGAAAATGATGCTGATAAGACATAATTCTTTCTGAGACAGTGATCATCCTACCTCAAGTACCTGATTGGTGGCATTACAGGTGTCACCTGGCCTAACTTTTTGTTGCCGTCCTTGTTTTATTTTTAGCTGACAATGACTGAATCATTACCAAGTCTGAAGTACAAACAAAAAGCCCTATCAAGGCAGTACTAAAGTTACCTTAATTCTACCAATAAAAGCTGGAAGTTAAGCAATGTTAACACAGCTAGGTAACATAGATGAAAGATATAAGTCCTTGCCATTTGATTCAAACCCATGCTCTAGATCATCTATATAACTGATATGCTCTAAGTTTTCCTATAGATTTTAGGTCCCAGTTTAATTCAGCAAGCATTCATGCATCACCAACCTCGTGTAAGAGTGCTGTGAATAGAGACTCAGATGGTCATGCCAAACACTGTTCTAGAATTTGGTGACACAACAGTAAGACCAGGCAATATAAAACAAACAGAGCAAGTCCCTGTCCTTGAGGAGCTTACATCCTACTGAGGGAATGCAGACAAACATAACCACAAAAGATAGTTAATCATATGGTCATGATGATTGGCCATGGTTGTCATTTGGGCTAAAATTAGAGTCACCTAGAAGATACACATCTGAGCATATCTCTGAGGGCATTTCTAGAGCAAATATACTGACCCTGAATGTGAGTAGCATTTTCCAGTGGGTCACCAAGATATCAAGAGGTCTGAGTATATGCAGCAAGCATATATCGTCTTTCACTTTCTTTTCAAAAATTATTTCTAGACTTGTTTATTATTTTCTGGGTACTAGTGTTTCACCTGCATGTATGTATGTATGTATGTATGTATGTATGTATGTATGTATGTGCACCATTTGCATGCAGTGCTGACAGAGGGCAGTAGAGGGTTTCAGATGCCCTGAAACTAGAGTTACAGGTAGTTGTGCACCACCATGTGGGTGCTGGGAATCAAACATGGGTCCTCTGCAAGAACGACAAGTGCTCTTAACCACTGAGCCATCTCTTCAGATCCTCTTCTACATCTATCACTACTGTTGCCATCGTTGGCTGCCACCAGACTCCAGGTTCTTCCATCTTCCAAGTCAACTTAACACCAGTGACTCTTCAGGGATCCTCCATGCTTTTAGCACTTAACTGGAACGACTGAAACATACAGTTTTTTTGGACTGAACACCTACCAGGTTCTGTGCCTTTCCAGTGTACAAACAGCCATTGTTGGGCTGCTAGTTTCCTTATCATCTAAGCCAATCCAATAAACTATCATTATAATATGCATACATTGTATTGGTTCTGTTCCTCTGCAGAAAGCAGTCTAATGCAGATTTTGGTACCACAAGTAGTTGTAGAGAAAGACGAAAGAAAGCTTAATGGTTTCTGAACTAGTAGTCTAATGTGATTATATATATCTAAAGTTACTAAATATTCTCTTGATAGCATGGAGAGCACATACTGGAAATCCATGATGTGAACTATTTAAAGAAATATGTGAAATAAATGCATTAGACACTCCTGATTCTCCACTTGTGAGAGGCAGGAAATGTAGTCAGTTTACACATGATACTTTTGAGTATTTCTGGAAAACAGGGAATATAATGGTATTGGCTGGTTGTTTCTAGTATCTCTGATAAAGTAACAAAGGGAAACTATAAACTCAGAGATGCAGTTTCCCAGGTCCTGGTGTGTATTAAAAATCTAAAGGCTCAGATGGGTGTTGGTGGCACATGCCTTTAATCCCAGCCCTCGGGAGGCAGAGACAGGCAGATCTCTGTGAGTTCGAGGCCAGCCTGGTCTACAAGAGCTAGTTCCAGGACAGCCTCCAAAGCCACAGAGAAACCCTGTCTCGAGAAAAAAAAATGTTCACATAAAATCTAAAGGCTCTAAGTGTGCCCTGAGAGAGAATCCTGTCTCCAGCATCCATAAAGCTGAAGTTGCCAAAAACCAAACACAAGTCCTCATTATTAGTTTAGCTTACTTACAATACAATTTTAGCTTGGAGCCTCAACAGTTATCTGCAGTTAGTAAAGACATTGACTGGAAAATGTTGGGATCCTATTACTTAAGACAGAGATTTGTAGAAGGACCCTAATGAAGCCAAAACATTGAGTTCTTGGATACTAATGTGTTTCTTTTTGTTAAGATTTGCTTTTATTATTTTAAATTGTGTGTGTGTGTGCACAGATTTGAATTTTGTGTCTATGCAGGCCAGAAGATGCTGCCAGATTCCCTGGTGTTGAAAGTGATTGTGAACCACTATACATGGTACTTAGAGCTGAACCCCAGTCAGCTGGAAGAACAGGAAGCAATCTTGCCCATTGAGCTATTTCTCCAGCCCCAAATCTGTTGAGTTTATTTTACCTGGAAAAAAATACTCTCCCTGCCTTAGTGATAGGTATATCCCCACCCTGTCCCTTGAAGTATTGTCCTCTCCATCCTTGTCCAAGTGAATTAATCCTGCATTATCCATAGAACTAGCAATTACAGTCTCTGAAGGAGATACCATGCACGATAATGCTGATGTCCTTCAGAACATTTCCTTCCTGCCCATCTTTAGTCCTAGTCCTATAACCAGACTCTTAGAAGAAGTGGGGAACACAGTATGATCCTGAGGAGGTGCACTATGCTCCAAAAGAACTGCTTGAATTTTCTAGTTCATACAAGCAGAGGTCTGGAGAATGTATATGCTAGTGGATTTTAAGGGTATAGCATAGTGGTGAACAGAAAATAACACCACTCAAGGCTGAATTTATTGATGTGATCTTAGATCCTGGGTTTAATGTTTCAACTAGCACAGCATCCACATGGAACAGTTAGCAACCTCCTGAAACTCCAGCCCCAGGGGACCCAACACCCTCTTCTAGCCTCTGCAGGTACTGCATTCACATCTGCACATATCCACCCAGACACACACACACACACACACACACACACACACACACGCAATAGTGTATTTGATTGGTTGAATGAAGTATGAGTCTAGAGATGGCCTACTGTGAGTAAGCTGGACATGCCTGATGTCTTTTGGCTTAATGTTGATGAAGGGATTCAGTGGCTCCAGGTAACTGGGTATCTCTACCATAGGAGAGTCCAGACTACATGGCTTCCAATAATACTATAAGAAGTATGTTTGGGAGAGGAGCACCAGCATGCTTGAAGAGCTCTGTCATTACTCTTTTCTGTATAGCAGAATTTAGACTGGGAGCCAGAACCATTCAATTGGATAACCTAAATGCAATGAGTGTAAGAGTCACAAGGGCCAAGTAGCAGTACTAAATTACCAAAGGTAAAATGAGAATACTGTCCATAACAGACACTAGAAGGAAAGGAATGATCATGATGGTCTCTGTTGACGTTAGATAATCAGCTATGGTAATCTGAGAAGCAAAATACATAGGAAATATACTAAATTTTTGTTTAATCTGTATATGAAATGTATTTCCAGAGCAAACAAACAAAAGTTTATCTTGAATCATTGCCACAAAGAACCATGACTCCTCAACCAACTTCTAGACTTTAGACAATCTATAGGCCTATGAAAAAAATAAATCCCAGGTCCCTTTGAGGAGGAACCCTCCTATACTACCAAATTGCTTTACTATTAATCTTTCTCCAATCTCTCCTGAAATGAGTCTACAGTCTTTTTACCATGGCAACCACATGCTGGAGGAAAAGGAAATAATCATATATTTTAGTACCTACACTAGTTTTGAACTGACATTACGTCCAAGAGATCTCAAATAGCATTGTGGCTCTTCAGTCAAAAGAGGGACTTAAGGATATAATATAATCAATGGAATTTTATCAAAGGTCTGAGTCACTGTGGGTTCAATGAGCCACTGAACTATAGTTATTTTCCTGTACTTATTTTATGAGTTGAAGAATGCATAATTGGGTTTGATAAACAACTTAGAAGTTGGTAGAATTCTCACACTGGTTTCCTGACCTGCAGA